TTTCAAATTTTCTTTCAAATATACCTTCCTTTTATTTACAATTTCATCATATTTTTAAAATTATTTTTAAATTCATATAAAATTCATATTCTTAAAAAAAAAAATTAATTAACTTTTATTATTATTATTTAAAAATTAAATTATATCATCTCAAGCTTAAATTTCATGATCGGAATATTACAATGAAAGTCTTATTACTATTATTTGAGAACTTTTTTATGCTTTTTTTTAAACAATGAAACTACTTTTTAAAATCTATTTAAGCATAAATTGTTTACCAACAAATCAATTCCTTCATATTATAAATAAAGTCTTACACGTGTAAGTCTAAAAACAATTAGAGAAATTATTGCTCCTTTAATAGGGAGGCACTTTATATACAATATATATATATATATATATATAAGAGAATCATATTCACTTGTTTATAATGCTCTGCAATCTATCTAAATTTGACCCTTTATATATCATCCATCATTAACTTACTTCACTAATTTATCCCTTCATTCAAAGATGCATATATTATATATATGTATATATTATATTAGAATTTTGTAAAAGTAGAAAAGTATTATTTTACCCAAAAAGTAAAGTGGGATAATAAAATTTTACTTAATTTACTTTTATATTTGTTCTCCATTAATACTTTTACTTTACTTTACAAGTTCGTTATATTATATGGGATTAATTGGTGTGATGGGTTTGCTATGATGCTTCAACATAATTGTTTGGTTAGGCTGTCAACAAAAGATTTTTTTTTTCCTTGTATTCTTAATCTTATATAGATATTAAATATTATCTTTAAGAAAAAAACCTAAACGACACTGTTTTGGCGATTAAGATTGAACTTTATATATATATATATATATATATGCGTGTGTGTATACATATCAACCCCTTAATAATAGGGATACACCACCACCAGTGTCCACGTTTTTGTCCAATGTGTGTTGGCAGCTGGGACAGACAGAGAGACAGCCCCAACAAATTTATGTTGTCTGATCTTTGCAAAAAATATATATATATATACACATATACGTATACGTATACACATATATACAAACAACTTCATCTGCAAATCTCAGCAATTCCTAGAATGGTTTTTTATTCCGCCCTAACCAAACAATTCCTTGCTCTCATATTTTTGTATGATTGTAATCATACTGTTTTTTTTTAAGGCTAAAATTACAAAATAGTTATTGAATTTTAAGCTTAAGTTTATTTTTTTAACATATACATATATGTATAATATATGTATTGGTTTTATTTGTACAAGCTGACGCCAACTAAGGACAAATTATATATGTATTTGATCATGCTGTCTGTGTGCTGGCAATGGACATGCAGCTAAGCTCTTCTTAGTTTGAAGTAAACTGTTACTTTCACACAAGGGAGGATTTGAAGTTGAAGAAATTTACATAATCAATCAAATCTTATCTCTACATTTCGTCTCATAAATTTTATTCACTTCGTTCGATTTCTATATCTAATAAAATCCTGTTAAATTTTTATGATGTATTTAAGAATTGTTAATCGTAAATTTATGATTATTTAATTTTAATATTAATTAAATAACAATGACTTAATCATGAACTAATAATATCTTAATTATAAAATAGTAATTTCTTATTTTCAATAATTATGAGTTAGTAATTTTTTTAACGAGTTAATGGTCATTTAATTCTTATAAAATTTGTTTATTTTTTTTTTCTTATTTAACCTGGTAGATTTCATAAGTAAAAATTATTTGAGTTCAATTTAATTATTTTATATACACAATTTGTATTACTCTATTTTTACATATTCATTATTTTAAAAATAAATTTAAAATTTAGTTAAAAATTTTCAGTCGGAACCTAAGTATGAAGCCTTACGAGGTAGGGTTGGGATTTTTCCCCCTCTGTGTTTGGGGGATTTTTTTCCTTCCAATTTAGGTAAATTAAATTTCCATGTGAGTGAATACATTGCATAGACATATGTAGATAGATACAAAGATATGATACAGACAGAAGGAATAGTGTCCTAGACAAAATGATGGTAGCCTTGGTGACAAAATTGGTGGCCCTTACCTAGGGATATTGTACTTTTAAGTTTGATCTTCTTGTCTCTTTTTATCACCATCATCATCACCAACCTTTTGGCCTGCTCCAATTCATCCCCCCATCCCCCTTGTATATTATTCAACTTTGGAAATTTTAATTCCCCAAATTTCCAAAAATTGGATATGAAATAAACATTTCCATGTTCTAAAAAATAATTTTTTTTATTAAAAATTTATATATTTTAATAATTAAATAACTAACAATTATATATACCAATAATAACAAAATTGAACTCAAATTTTATAAAGAATGGTAAAAATATTTTTTTACAAACATCCAAGCAAATGATAAACTACATAATTCTTTTCACCTCTCTCTCTCTCTCTCTATATATATATATATGTGTGTGTGTGTGTGTATTTTACCTTCAGAACTGGAATTATTGAACTGTGAAATCCAGATATTAGAACTAGGGTTTAGAGAAAATAACAAATTATAATTTTAAAATTTTCCCATAGTAAGTCTCCATCTATCTCTCTTGCAGAGTAATTCACATTGACTAACCAAAATTCTGTGTCTTTTACTTTTCTACTTCAATTTGCTAGGTTAATTTTTCTATACTGCGAAAAATAAACATTTAAGTATCTCGATTTGAAGAAAAATTTCTGGAGAAAAAACTCTCTCCCTTTTTTTCATTGAACTTGAAAACTAATACAACCAACAAGCTCATTAGTAGAAGAAAACAGAACCTTATAAACCATGAAGATGCTACTCTACAAATCATATTCCCAGTTTCAAACCACCCTTCTCTCTTCACATTCACATTCACATTCACATTCATTCATAGGCTCAGAAGAACTCCATCATCGGAATTGATCCACCGGCAGCCAGAATTTGCTGCTCAAGCTGTATAACCAACAATTCAAAATGAAACTTCGTTAGCTCCCATTCAAATTAGCATGCCACTAATCTACAATTGTACAATCTGTTTCAGGGTTTTCTTCCTTTTTCCCTCCGGTCCATGTTATCCATAGCTTTACCCACAGAAGTCAAAATTATAAAACTTTGTTGTATTGAACATGGGGATTAAGAGAAGGAAAATATAGTTTAGTTTCCAAAATTCTTTTATACTGAATCAGAACAAATCCGTATCTCATAATTGATCTAAATTTCTGTGTGATGTATACATGTTTCTTGCCTTCAGAACTATAATTATTGCTACTTTATGAGATTTAGTGTTTAGTAATCTGGATTCCTTGCAGGTCAGGTTGACAAAATCAAGTAAGTCTTTCTTTTCTTTTTTTTCTTTTTTTCACTTTTTGCTTTAATTTTCTTGCTTAATTTTTTTATATACCACAAGAATTAACTCCAATACTGTTCTATACTGACCCTGAACAGATTTTCCAGCTTGTTCTTCACAAGGTAGTATTCCTGTTTCACTTGCTGCAGACAACTATGGCACCTGAAATCATCAACTCTGATCATCAGAAAAGAAAAAATACGAAATTTCACATAGTTTTAATCCTTCAAGTTTCTGGGTTTACTGTAAAAATTGATAAAAGTTGCTTGGTAGAAAGGAAAATTGAGAAAGAAAATCTATTTCCCATATGTGAAAAGGAAGAGTATATAAGAAGATTAAGATAACTCACGCCTCAATGTTCTGTTCCTCACAGAAGTTGCGGAAATTAATGCAGGCATTTTTAACTCTCTGTGCACCTATGCTGGTTGCCAAACAAACAAAAACTCCATCAAAAGAACAATGAAATAAATTAAGGACCCGTTTGGTGCACGAAAAGTATTTTCAATTTTTAAAGAAAATATAGATGAAAACCAGATTTTCAATAGTCTTTACTTCTTCCTTAACTAGATTGTATAATTCATTGAATGAAATATATATAAATTTTTAACAGAAAAAGGAAAAGAAAAAACGTTTTCATGCACCAAACAGAGCTGCATTACTCTGCGTGTCAGATCTGAAATCAACTGAGTGTCGCCGGTGATTTTTTCACCCACTCCATTAATGTCAGAGAGAGAAGGTACCTGGAGCTGCTACCTTTCAATTGATGAACATGGGCATCTACCCGTTTGAAATCCATAGCTGGCTGATCTCTATAAAACAAAAAATGTATATATAATAAAAAACCCAGATAAAGAAAAAAAAAAGTTCAGTTACAGAGGTATATTGTCAAACAGAACCACGAACAAGAAACAGGGGAAAGAAAATTTACAGAGAGAAAAAGAAAAGGCCTTACAAAGCCATTGTGAGATCATTGAGGAGTCTTTCAGAATCTTCAAAGAAGAGAGAAACAACTTCAACAACAAAATCTGGGTTGCTCTCGTCCTGAAGTTGCTGAAGCTGTAAGAACTGACCGTCCAAAAAACCCTTCTCCCACCATTAACAAAACCAGAAAATCACCATTTCCGCAGCCCAAAAAAAAAAAAGAAAAAACAGAGCAAGAAACTCAGAAAATGAAAAAAAGAAAACAGAACACAGAACAGATCGAATCAAACAGAAGAAAACCCATTAAGATTAGGTGAAGTTGGAGGTGATATTTGAAACTTACTTCCTTAAACAAGGACTTGGTGTAGTCAACCAGCCTTCTCTGCATCTGACCCACATCCATGGCTGTGCTCGGCTTCTTCTTCTTCTTTTTCTTCTTCTACTACCTGTTTTAAAGCTAAATGGAGGCGAAATGAAAGCAGCTTGTGGCTTAAATTGAAGATCTTGAGAGAGAGAATTATTGCACATCAGAAAAACAAAAACAAAAAAAAAAAAAA